AGCTTTATATAAATATTTTTCTTGGAGTATTTTAGGTAGTTTCAATTTGTTAGAAAAGTCAAAGGTCATTTTTGAAATATGTCTTTGTATTTAGGCTATCTATGCATATATCCTCGTTTATTTCCGTGTTTATCAAAATTAATGACATATATGATCCGTGATCGTGTGCAACGTTTTTTTTTTTTTTTTTAGAAGTCCAGATAGGAAATAGGGTTAACATAAGGGAAGATTTCATAACTAAGAGGTTTAGTTTTACCAATTTCAAATTTAAGAACTTAAGTTTAAAATTTCAAACTTCAGATATTTTTAAATTAATTAATTAAGCATATATTTTATTAATTAAATATAATACGGTCACAATTCCATATAATTTGATTACAAATTCCATATAATTGGTCACAAATCACAAATTTTATGTCACAATTTCAAAATTTTATAAGTAACAGTTTGTTCATCGGCCACAAATCAAAAAATTGAATCACAAATTATTTTATGTTCACAATTCAAAAATTTTATGTATCACAATTTGTTCATCAGTTACAAATCAGAAATTTTATAAGTCACGTATTATTCATTGGTCACAAATCACAAATTTTATGTCACATTATTTTACGATTATAATTCAAAAATTTTATAGGTCACAATTTGTTCATCAATAACAAATCAAAAATTAAAACGTCATAATTTATTTATAGTTCACAAATCACAAATATTATAAGTCACTATTTAGTAGACAATCACAAATTGTCAAATTATCGGTCACAAATTAACAATTTTTTAGGTCATACATAATTTTTTTTGTCATAATTTATCTTTTTCATTGGTCACATATTGTTTATTGGTCACAGATTAACCAATTTAATGGTTACAAATGACCAAATAATTTGTGATCACCACCTCACCACTCCCTCAAGCAGCACAATTGCCACTGTCGCCGTTAGAACCACCACCACCTCCTTCCGACAGCAACACCACCTTAAACAAATCAACACATTGCAGAAAACACCACTACATCCTGACACCGATCCACAACCATCTCGACAAGCCATCGCCACCAACATCTCAACATCACCACCACCACCAACAACAAGATCCACCGTCGTCGCCACCAACAAAACCACAGAACAACCACCGTCTCATCTATCTGCTTCACTTCTCTTAGATCTCACAGACTACCACCACACGGACCTCCATACCCACCACAGATCCACCACCACAAAATACCCAATTAACCCAACCAATTAAGCTCAAAACCCTATTCATCATCTTCAACTTCCTGCAACTAGGTTCTCAACCACCAAGTGAACCCGTCCACGTCGACTCATGGAAAGCCTCAACTCGGCTCTTTTATACAAAGTGTCCCCTCTCCCCAAATCACTCAGAGACTTGACGGCCAGTGGAGAGAGCCCGACATTGAGTGAGTCGATAGCCGAAGTTTTGAACCTTTGGAGCTCCAAAGCCTGAGCCTTGAGAATGTGAGTCGCAACGTCCTTTGGATCGAGATGTATGGCTTTCTCAACTTCGAATTTATCTTCTTTGGCTAGGGAGGAAGACCTAGAATGGTCTTTGGAGGATCTGGCCTGGGAGAGGTTCTGGGAGCCGCGAACAAAGTGGTGTTTGGCTCGATGGCTGAAGAGACGGAGCTTTGTGAATAGCTTCCGGGCCGACGGAGAGGAAGTAGAGTGGACAGTGGAGAAAAGAGGAGAGAGTGACGGTGAGAAGAGATTGAGGGAAGAGAGAACTAGGAGGAAAATTGGAATGAATTTGATTAGGGTTTGAAATGAAATTGTACAATTAATATTTAAAATTTAAAATAAAATATATGATTTTTGAAAGATGAAATAATCTGATTTTTGAAATTGAATCTTTAAAATTATGTTTTTATGTAATTTCCATTTAATGTAAGTTAACACCGAGTTAGTTGCTTATTGTTCGTATTAGGGCGGGGCCCATAAATCGAAATCCACAAACCCAACCCAACCCAATCTGAATCGGGTTGGGTCGGGTTCCAAACAAATATAAAATTATTTGGGTTGGGTCGGTTTAGTTTAAATCCACTTAAACTGATCCAACCCAATATTAAAAACTCTGTCCCTGCTCAAACCCAAAACGTGAAATCTTCTCTGCTTCAAAACCAAACTTCCTGTATGGCCACTGATTTCCGTCTAAGGGGGTGATTTCGAAGCTATTGAAGAATCCAGATATAGGTGGAGGTGTTTCGTGAAGCTAGTTTTTGTACCTGAAGAAGAACTTCGCCAACCATTCACCGAAATTAAGGTAATTGATCAAGCCCTTTTGGATTGAATATGAGGGTTTTGGGATGTGAATTGAAAAGGGTTGTGGTTAGTTTTGTGTTTCTTATGCTTTTTGGTTTAATCAATTCTTCGAACAGGTGAACCGGTTAAAAGCAAAATTGCCTTTTTTGCTCTTTACTTTTCAAATACAAGATGCTTCCCTTTTCATGTACTTGTTACTTTTTTTTAGAGATGTTTGACAATTGTTGTATAATGAATTTTGGTTAATGAAGTATGGTTTAAATGGAGAGCTGCAAAATCAGTGTATTAATTTGTTAAAAATTTGAATTTACACTAGAACGTACCCAAAGGCAGAGGCCAGAGGGGTAGTCCATTTTTCCCTTTTCAGCTCTCTGTAATACTCGTGCAGCTCAGAGCTTTACCTTGAAACTATAGAGTTACCATTTTAGCCATTTCTCCCTTTTTTTCTTTCTCCTATCATCTCTTTTTTGTCTGCATTATATTTTCTAATTTTCTTTTTCTTGGAAAGTATACATTTGTTTGAATTTGTTGCTCCAATTTAGTTTTCTTTTCCTTTAGTCATAAGTTTTTTTAATGCTGGGACATGTGTGTTTGTGTGGGCTTGACACCAAGGCATATAGATCATAGATGAACCTGAGCACATCATCTTTTTGGAAAACTTCATTTCATTTAAGGAAAAATAAGATAGTTTCTTTATTTCTGTTTGTTTCCTTTTTTTTGGGGTAGAAGGGGATTAGAAGGGCAACAAAGAAGATCAGTCAATGGTTTCTCTCTATTGTCATTTGAGGCAGTGTATCTTGTAGTTTTGCAGCTGAAATGTTGAATTGTGGTTCTTGAAATTCACATCTTGATGGATTCTCTTATTCTCTTATTTTGTTTGACTCGTTGCCTCTTTTCCCTGTTGTCTCTGCTAAGGTTTGATCAAATAGACAAACCGAGAAAGGGTCAAGTCACAAAGAAAGGGTGATAATGGAAGCCATCTATACAAAGGTAATAAGGCTGCAGGTACAAAGTGTAAATTGATCGATAAAAAAGAAACTTCATGTATATTGCCAACTGGTATATTTCTGACTCTAATGTTAAGTAAATTTTAATTCTCTTTGTTCGTATCAATTTGAAGGATAAGCTACGGGGACGACCTGGCTATGAGCACCTGAATGAACCACTTCACATCCTGATCGAGGCTAATTTACCTGCCAATATTGTTGACATCAGACTGAGGCAAGCCCAGGAGATAATAGAACTGCTCAAGCCTATGGTATTCAGCCCTCAGTTTTCACTACTAGTGGAATGAAACGTGCGAAAACAAATTAAAAATAATTAAATTTATTTTATGTTATATATATGCTCTTACCTAATTGAAAATCTAAGAAAATAGGTTTTCTAGCTTTTTGGTTGTGTTTTCTTTTTTTCATTTTTTCCCTTAAATTCTTGAACAGAAAACCATAAAGGGGTGAAAACAAAAAGAAAAAAAGTGTTCACATATAGTTGGTTTTAGAATAGGTTTTGGTGATGTCAGGTGCTTTTGAACTCATTCATTGGATTTGTTAGTATGTAGTGTGAAAATATGTTTGTTGTCGATACAACATAGCAACAAGACGAGGCTTGATTTGTAGATATCTTGTTATAACACCTGTGATAATCAAGATTCTATATTAAGACAATATATTGACGACTTTTCTTACTTAATATTGTTAATTACTATTCAATCCTGTTGTAGCATAGCTTTTA